CAGGTGTTGACTATCCAAATGAGGCGCCCTCTTTCTCGCTTTGACCCGATTTTTGGGCTCCACAGCATCTCGGTGGGTGGCAGAGTGTTTGGCATATTCGTTGAGCACAGGATGAGAGGAAGCAAGTTTCAGGCCATGGCCAAGAAGCTGCACAGGCTGGGTTGGCGTGTCGTCGCGCAGCCAGCCCACAGCACTGCCGCCGATGATGCTTCGTCAGGAATCACGGTTGCAGCTCGCTCTCGCCTCGGTGTATCTCGGCTTGCGTGCGAGGCAGGGGAGTGCATCTCAGTCGGCATTTCTAGGTGGCTGTTGTGCACTCTGCGCCTGAGGAAAGCTTCGCTCAACATTGCGCCCGTCTACCTGGGCGCAGGTGGCCAGCTCAGCGGGGAGAACCTTCATGTGCTGACGGACCTCGGCGCCCATTTGGGCGCGGCAGGTGTATACCAGCCTTTGTGCTAGGTGACCGGCAAGTCGACCAGACGGTTATCGAAAGCTCTGGTTGGAGCCCTTTTGCCTCTGCGCTGGCCTCGTCCAGTTTCATATGTGCTGTAAGATTATGCTCGCTTGTCCCAGTCAATTGGGGTCGCACGCAGTTTTGGAATTCAAGATTTCTGCGTCTCCCAGGGCCATCAAGATTTGGACGATCATGCGACCCAAGCCAGTAACAGTCAAAGGTGCATTGGCCCCTGTTGAGTCCAGGCCGCATTTCTTGGTTCAGGCCCGTCTCTTGCAGAGACGACTCACAGGATTTTTCAAGGCCAATCCTGCGGCTGCTAGTCTTCTCGTGCTGGGGCGCGACAACGTCGATGTCTATTCCCGGATAGCTCTTAGAGGGCTAAGAGGATTTCAGATTAAGAAGCCGGAGCCGCAAGGTAGCCCCAGAGATCGTTCCGGCGTCGGTCCAGGCTCCCTCCCCAGAGCGACTTGTCCGACCCTCCAGCGGGTCGCGAGAGGACTTTGCTGAGCGTTTCCCCATACGCCCCATGCTCTCTACTTTAGAAGAAAGAACGCCATAAACATTAACTTTTGGTGTTCCGTGGATATTTCTTGGATCTGCGCTGGACCCCCTCCCTGGCGCGCGGAGCGCACCGGGGGTGGCGCCGGAGGCGCCGCCAGGGGGGGCCCAGGCGCGGATCCAAGACATCCAGGCGGAGCGCCAACAGTTTATGCTTATGGTGGTTTCTCTTCCTCGATGCTTGGATGGTGGCCCTGGATCGGCTATACGCAAGAGTGACCCTGGGCAAGAGTGACCCTTGGTGCGCGATTTTTGGGGGACCGAGCCTCGGCGCGCCAGCAGCTGCTGCTGATCCGCTTTTTCAGCCATCTGGGGGCAAAGGTCACTCCGGCGAAAGGTCACTCTTACGTCTAGTCGACTGGAGCATCCTTCGGGGGCGGCAAAGAGGGGGGTGTCCAAGAGGGGGGGGGTGCAAATCATGACCGGCGGCATGTGCGCGGCCCAGCGGGGGGGCCTGGGACGTAAGGAAATGAGAAGAGGCGCCATGAGATCCGAGGAAATATCATGGCCCCCGCCATGATATCCACCCCCCCCTAGTCATCACCCCCCTCTTTTCCGCCCCCGAGTCTAGTCGACTGGAGCATCCTGGAGCTCGAGGCTCTCGACGCCGGGGTTGGGCCCAGCCCAGGCCTTTCCGTGCCTCGGACGTCAACGTGACGGCCCGCGGGCGGCCGGTCCCCGTGCAGTGCGCTTCCGCTTCGCGCGTGCCCTCCTCTTCTGCTCGAGGGTCTTCGGATGCTCCTCGATGGCCCTCGCCAGCAGCAGCAGCAGCAGGAAGCCAGGCGCCCAAACGGCGCAGCGGCAGTTCATGACTCTTCGAATTCTACATGCGAAGATTGCAGGCGTGATCAGAAAGCGTACGGGAAAACACACGCCGCCCACTGTAGCTGTGGCCCTCGCCAGGAAAAAATAATCCCGGCAAAGCAACCTAACGGCGATGTGTATAAGCATATTTGGAAGCATTCCCCTGAAGATTCGGGTGAGAATCCGGTTGTAGAACTCTGCTGTTCTCGCAGTCGCAGTCGCAGTCGCAATGACAGTCGCAGTGGCAACGGCCTTAGGATCCAATGGAATCCTAAGGATACCTAGGGATTCCTAAGGCATCCTTAGGCATCCTTAGGAACCCATAGGAATCCTTAGTAAACCTTGGGAATCCTTAGGAATCCTGATTCCTAGGGATTCCTAGGGATTCCCAAGGATTCCTGAGGAATCCTAAGGATTCCTGAGGATTCCTGAGGATGCTTAACTATGCCTACGGATTCCTAAGGATGCCTACGGATTCCTAAGGATACCTAGGGATTCCTAGGGATTCCTATGGATTCCTACGGATGCCTCAGCCTGCCTCAGTTTCAGCCTCAGCCTCAGCCTGCCTCGGTTTGCCTCAGCCTCAGCCTCAGCCTGCCTCGGCCTCAGCCTCAGCCTGCCACAGCCTCAGCCTCAGCCTGCCCCGGCCTCAGCCTGCGTCAGCCTCAGCCTCAGCCTGCGTCAGCCTCAGCCTGTCTCAGCCTCAGCCTCAGCCTCAGCCTCAGCCTGCCTCGGCTTGCCTCAGCCTCAGCCTCAGCCTGCCTCGGCCTCAGCCTGCCTCGGCCTCAGCCTGCCTCAGCCTCCCCTCCTCCCCCCCCCCCTCCCCCCCCCCATTCAGCCTCACCTTGTCTCAGCTTCGGCCTGTCTCGGCCTCATCCTCAGCCTCAGCCTCAGTCTCAGCCTCAGCCTGTCTCGGCCTGAGCCTGCCTCGGCCTCAGCCTCAGCCTGCCTCAGCCTCAGCATGCCTCAGCCTCAGCCTGTCTCAGCCTCAGCCTGCCTCAGCAGCCTGCTTCGGTTTGCCTCGGCCTCAGCCTCAGCCTGCCTCGGCCTCGGCCTCAGCCTCAGCCTGCCTCAGCCTCAGCCTCAGCCTGCCTCATCCTCAGCCTGCATCAGCCTCAGCCTGCCTCAGCCGCAGCTTGCCTCAGCCTCAGCCACAGCCTCAGCCACAGCCTCAGCCTCAGCCTGCCTCAGCTTCAGCCTCAGCCTCAGCCTGCCTCGGCTTGCCTCAGCCTCAGCCTCAGCCTGCCTCGGCCTCAGCCTCAGCCTCAGCCTGCCTCAGCCTCAGCCTCAGCGTCAGCCTCTCAGCCTCAGCCTGCATCAGCCTCAGCCTCAGCCTCAGCCTGTCTCAGCCTCAGTCTCAGCCTGCCTCAGCCTCAGCCTGCCTCAGCCTCAGCCTCAGCCTGCCTCGGCCTCAGCCTGCGTCAGCCTTAGCCTCAGCCTGCCTCAGCCTCAGCCAGCCTCAGCCTGCCTCAGCCTGCCTCGGCGTGCCTCAGCCTCAGCCTCAGCCTGCCTCAGCCTCAGCCTGTCTCGGCCTCAGCCTGCCTCAGCTCGGGCGTTCAAAATATGGCACAGGACTGGTGTTCTGGGAACACGAAGATCACGAAATTGCCCACAGTTGGCTCCAGGCAAGCAAAATATGGTACAGGTAAAGGAATGGTGTTCTGGGAACACGAAGAACACGAAGTGGCCTACAGTTGGCTCCGGGCATTCAAAATGTGGCCTTGGAATGGTGTTCTGGGAACACGAAGATCACGAAATTGCCCACAGTTGGCTCCGGGCAAGCAAAATATGGTACAGGAGTGGTGTTCAGGGAAAACGGAGAACACGAAGTGGTTTACAGTTGGCTCCGAGTATTCAAAATGTGGCCTGGGAATGGTTTTCTGGGAGTATGAAGAACACGAAGTGGCCTACAGTTGGCTCCGGGCATTCAAAATGTGGCCTGGGAATGGTGTTCAGTGGGCTCCGGGCAGTCAAAATGTGGCCAGGGATAATGTTCTGGGGAGTCCCCGGTTTTCCCCGGCATCCGTCCGGATCCCGCCCAGACCCCCCTCGGGAGTCATGATCTCTCTTTTGACACTACTAGAAACCTATCAGTCTTCGCTGTTAGCTAACGACGCACTAACAACATGCGCCCATACCCATAGGGGGGTCGGAGAGGGCTATGGGTGCGTGTTGTCGGATGGAGGTCCCCGCTCAAACGGCAGCGTTCCCCAAGGTCCGACAACCCGCACCCATACCCATAGCCAGTCCTCCTCCCAACGACCCCCCCATGGGTATGGGTGTGTGTTGTTCGTTGGAAACCCTCGAGTCTCGGTACTTTTTTGGTGCTCGAAATTCTTTCTGGCGATTCAGGCTAAAGCACGTTGGAACATCATAAGCAAAGACGTTGTCAACAGCCCAGGATGCGTTCTGCGCCGCCTAATACTTGCCAGGTTGACGGGCACCGCAAGGGAAGGCGCAGGACAACGAGCGAGAGAGGAGGCAGCAGGCGCAGCAGCCGGGGACGGGAAGCAAGGAATTGGCGGCCACTGTGATACACAAGAGGTAGTAGGAAACGCGGATCGCCTGCCCCCCCAGGAAACCTCGGCTGCATCCCATGGCGGCAAGGGCCACCCGAGTTTGCGGGTCACGAGCGAACGTGAACCGTGTCGTGACCGCGCCTATGCGAAAGCGTCTTGGGAAAGGCCAGCGGCTCTGGCCCAGGCCGCAGCGCGCGAAACGCGATCCTCTTGACGCCGCCGCGGGCGACCCGGGCAGCTGGGAGCCTCGAAGCCCACGTGGGCCCGACTGGACGGGGTCCAAAACAGGGCTCGAGTTAGACAGTGTTTCCCGTTTTCGTTTTTTTTCGTCATTCCTAGTTCTGTCTTCGCTCCACATTTGCTGCAAAACGAAGTCAAAACGAAAACGGTCCACGAAATTGCCAAAACACCGTTTAGCTCGAGCCCTGGTCGGAAAGTCGCGCCGCAGTGCCGATACATCGCCGAGGACTCGGCGGCGGCGGACATTCATTGCGCCGTCGGTATGGAGAATATCGGGGCCCGCATCAGGCCGCATCGGCGGTGCATCGGCGGTGCGCGCGATCCTCCGATCCCATCTGCCCTGGGCGGATGCCGCCACCGGAGGACGCGCGCGGTGCCCCCGGGCCCCGGGCCGACGGGCGGGACGGGGGACCGGGCGGGGCCTCGATGCACGGCTCCTTGAAGTTGAGGCACCAGGGCGGCCACTCCCACCTCGCGCGCGCAGGGGGATGGGGGGGGAGGGCCGAGGGGGGCAGGAAGGAGGGGAGGGGGCACCAGAAGTGAGGGGTCAGGATGTAGGGCGTGCTTCTTGCAGTACGCAGGGACGGATGCGCAGAGCGCGGGCAGAAGGCGCGATCAAGGCGGGAGTAAAACGGGCACGGAAGTCAGCCGACCTCCGCGGCCCAGGGCCACATTGCAGCGGGAGAAGGGAGACGATGGAGAGAGGCAGCGACCAGAGCCTACCGTCCGAGTCTGGTGCGTAAACGAGTCTGCTAGTGTTATCGTTGGCTCAGGTGCGCAAGCCATACCCAAGGCAACGACACAAAAGAGCGCGCTAGGCTGGGAAAACCTTATGTTGGCCAGGCCCCTCGTAAAAAAACTGAACGGCAGCATATCATTAGACAGAACATGCCCTCGTTAACTTGCAAGCTCGGCGGGCACGGCGTAATATCCTTCCTCCGTCAGCCTCCTGACTGCCCGAGCTGAGGCGGGACGGCACGCCATCGCGTGGAGCGCCAGGCGGTGCGCCTGTAGGCCATCGGCTGCGCCGCAGGCTGCGAGCAGGTCTGCGCCAAACGACGAACGGCACGTGAGCTTGTGGGATCGTCTCACGGCGCAGATCTGCTTACCGAGACTGCGACACTCCAGACGCATGTAGCCGGTCTCCTGCTTGCGTTTGAGCGAGCCGTCGCTGTGGACGCAGAAAGTCGCCCAGCGCACTCCATCGCTGGGAGGTGACGCGCGCCTTGCTTTTCTGCGTGGCCCGAACGACGGACTACATCGCGTGCCTGACTTGAAGGAGTTTCTGTGGAACTCACGTCATCCCGACCCCCGGCGCGCGGGGTAACGGCCCCGCCGACAGCCCCCCCTGTTCCATTTCCAGCGAGATCCGGCGAATCCGGCGACGAATTCCCAACCAGCGCCCTCGCGAGGGACATCCTCCATGCAAAAACCACTCCCGGAGCCTCCCCAAGGAGGCCCTCAGAGGCCCCCTTGTTCCGTTTCTGGCGAGATCCGGCGAATCTGGCGACGAATTCCCAACCAGCGCCCTCGCGTGGGACATTCCTCCTTAGAAAAACCACTCCTGGAGCCTCCCCAAGGAGGCCCTCAGAGGCCCCCTCTGTTCCGTTTCTGGCGAGATCCGGCGAATCCGGCGACGAATTCCAAACAAGCGCCCTCGCGTGGGACATCATCAGAAACACCGCCCCCAGAGCCTCCCCGCTCTGTTCCGTTTTCGGCGAGATCTGGGAAATCCGGCAAATCAGGCGACGAATTCCAACCAAACGCCCTTGCGTGGGACATCCTCAGAAAAACCGCTCCTGGACCCTCCCCAAGGATGTCCTCAGAGGCCCCCTCTGTTCCGTTTCGGGCGAGATCCGGGAAATCCGGCGAACCTGGCAACGAATGCTAAACCAACGCCCTGTGGGACATCCTCGGAAAAACCGCCCCTGGACCCTCCCTAAGGAGGCACTCAGAGGCCACCTTGTGCCGTTTCAGGCGAGATCCGGGAAATCCAGCGAATCTGGCGAACCTGGCGACGAATTCCAAACCACCGGTGCCCTCGCGTGGGACATCCTCAGAAAACCGTCCCTGGAGCCACCCCAAGGAGACCCTCAGAGGCCTCCTCTGTTCCGTTTCCAGCACGCCACAATGGAGACGAGGGCGCTTAATTATACGCGCGACCTTGCGCGGGCAGCTTACGCGCCAATGCCGGTGAAGACGACCCCATGTTTTGGCGTCGCTCACCACGCGACCCCGCCCAGCCAGATCCCCCCTGTGCTGCCCCGAGGCTTCCCCAGGGCCACCTGCAGCCGACGCGCCAGCATCAGGAACGCCACGGAAGGAACCGTGGTGGCTTTTTCCTGGCCACGGCGAGCCTCGGCCATGAGTGGCTTCCCCGACCCACGCATGAGGAACGGCCCAGTCATTGGAGCCCCACCTGAGCCCCAACTGGTCCTTATCTCAGCGCCTCGCATGCACGGCCAGTCCGCGCCGTGTCCACCCCGACATTGGTTCCTGACACCGCGGGGATCGTTCAAGCTTGCACGGTCGGCATCTCCCGAAACGCAAGACCGTGCAACGAGGGGCTCGTTCTAAGCGGCGCCAGCCTTGAACACGCAGTTTTTGCGGCGGCGACCGTGTGGCCAGGGTGTCCCGCTGCAGGGGTCGTTCGGCCGTCCGCGCCAGGGCGCCCAACACCGCAAAAACAACTCCACTGGCACGCAAACACCTCCATTTTTTGGTCGCCCCTGCGCCGCCGCCACGCGTGGCGTTCGGCCTCAGACGCCCGCACTGGGGTCGCCGCCGGCCGACGCGGCGCGAACCTGCCGCAGCCTCACAGATCGCGCCCCGCAACGCGCGGCGCGCGGCCACCTTCGCGCCCCCGCGCAGCCCGCGCCTGTCCCCCGGGGACGGGGGACGCCTTCGCGGCCCCAGGCTGCGACGCGCGAGGCGCGGTTACCCGCGCGCCCAGGCGGGGGGCCTGGCCGACCACACCTCGAACCGACCCCCCCTCTGCGACCCTATAGAGGAGAAGAGCAGCACGGCAGAAGCCTCATTTCTCAGAGGCCCGCGCGGATGTCTTGGATCGGCGCATGCCCCGCTGCCTGGCGCGCTCCGCGCGCCAGGCTGTGGTGTCCAACGCCGATCCAAGAACTCTTCGCGGGAGAGAGGATACGTGCATGTGTAGGTGTGCATGCATATGTCTGTGTAAACGTCTATGTGTACGTATAGGTACAGGTTTAGGTGCAAGTAGCAGTATATGTATGTTACCCGTATGTGTGCATATACATGCATGTATATATATATATGCATATATATATATATGTATATGTACATGTATATATTCGTATATGTATACACACAAAATTGTGTATATATACACACATGTGTACATATGTGTTCGTTCAGCATATGCATGTGTACATGTATGTTTATAGCTATGTTGACATACGTGTATATATATACACATATACAATTGCATACGTACATATGCAACTGTTTGACCTTCGAGGCCCCAGCCTCTCTCCGACCCCGTGGAAGGGGCAGCCGCCTCGCCCCCGACCCCGCGACCGCACGGGGCGCGGCCACTTCTCTCCCCTCGCCCCGCCCACCCCCCCCCCCGCGGGAGGCCCGGGTCGCTCTCTCCTCGCCCCCCCGTCCCCGCCCCCCCCCCACCCCCGCGGAGGCCCGGGTCGCTCTCACCTCGCCCGCCCTCCTCCTCCTCCTCCTGCCTCCTCCTCCTCTCCTCCTCCTCCTCCTCATCCTCCTCCTCCTCCTCTCCTCCTGCTCCTCCTCTTCCTCCTCTCCTCCTCCTCCTCCTACCTCCTCCTCCTCCTCCTCTCATCCTCTCTCCTCCTGCTCCTCTCCTCCTCCTCCTCCCCTCCTCCTCCCCCTCCTCCTGCTCCTCCTCCTCCTCCTCCTGCCCCTCCTCCTCCTGCTCCTCCTCCTCCTCCTCCTCGTCTCACTTCCAGCGAGGAGGTCCGCGATGCCTCCCCGAGCTGGGTTATAGCGGATGTCTCCAGCGAGGGGGGAGGGTGGGAAACACCTCCAGGGGACCCCCCCCCCCTTGGCTCCCCCGCTGGTGGACCCCCGCCCGCCTCCTTCTCTCCTCGCCCCGCTGCCTGCCCCCCCCCCCCCCTCCTCCCGCGGGAGGCTTCCTCGCCCCGCCTCCCAGACACCGCTCGGGCGAAGTCGGGTGTGTCCCTCCAGAGGAGGAATATTTTAAAGAGGTCAAAACATAGTCTGGGGACTATGTTGTGACCATTTGCTCGACTCTTTTGTGGGTATTTGTTGGAGTACTTTTAATTTTTCTCCCAGAATCCGCCTGTGGAGGGACACGCCCGACCTAACGCTCGGGCACGGGCGATCTTGTCAGAGGCCAGACCTGCTGACTGGGTGAGCGAGAGCAGGGTCTTTGTCGGGCAAGGGCAAGCGCTGGCGCGCAAGATTCTATCCACCCGCGCGAGGTTCGCTGAAGCTTGCGCGAGCCCTTGCGCAGGCGGCTTGCGCGGCTATATGTCGGGGCAGTTAAGCCGTTTGCTCATGTTGCTCACCTGCCTAACGAGATGTCCGCTCTCCTGGAAAAACTGGCGGGGCAGAAGCCCTGCCGTAAGGAACCGTGACGGGGGGAGCACCGCCACCTCTGGGACCTCCTGTTGCGCAGATGTGCGCGAAGAGCGCCAGAGGACCACCAGTGGTAGGACCCAAGTCCCATCGATCCCCTTCCGAAATCGACGATGTCGTAAGAAACCATCCCTCCAATTTCCCTCTTCACAGGTCCCTACAAGAATCACTTTCACTGCGGGAAAAGCCGCATTGAAAGACAACCGTCTGAGAATCCTGACTCGTGCCAGAACGCAAACATCCAGCGAATCCAACGCCGCGAATCAACGTGACGTTCGGGTCCCGACAACCCTAATCCGTGCCAAAACACCCTTACCGGGCCTTCAAAATCGCGATTCAACATAATTGCTGTGTCCTGACATCCTTACATCGCGCCTGAAAAATTCATGGGACTTCAACCCTACTTATCCTTCAAACCGCGTCAACCTTTGAAGACGAATGCGCCCGGCGCTAAGGCGAGAGCCACATTTTGGAAAGGAGCTGCCCGTCCTGGAAGCTGCTCCAATTTTTCGGTGCGAATCCACTCGGCGCTGAGGCGAGGGCCACATCCTGAAGACGACCCGCCCTCCATCCTTGACACTGCTGCAGACTTTTAAAGCGAATATGCGCGGCGGATTTGGACGCCTGACATGGGTACGGAAAAGATGGGTACAATGCCCAACAACAAATGTTGTCCCAAACCAACAGCGGCCGCTGTTGGGCAGGCGGCCTTCTGTCTCAAATGGACACAGGCCGCGGCGGCGCGAACAGCGAGCCCTGTTCAAAATGAGTAGGAACTGCTGTTGGGTATTGCACAGTCGACCCGCCCAGTAAGGATGGACAGCCTTCCCAAGGGCAAGGGTGCCCTTGCATCCTTGCCTCCTCGGTCCATCCTTCGCCACTTTCGCCGGCCGCGCCCCGCTCGGAAGGCTTCGAAATGGGCGTCCAAGGCCCTCGCATCCTTATCGCGCATCCTCACTAAACGGGTTGACCCATTCCTTCCGTGCCCTTCAGTCGGGCGTGTCCCCCTACAGGGGGGGTTTGGGGCGAAAAATGAAAAACACTAAAAAAATACTCCCCCCCAATGGGCAAAAATTGTCTTAAAATCGTCCCCAGACTTTTTTTTACTATCTTTGAATATTCCCCCCGTAGAGGGACTCAAAACATACCCCCTAATGGGCAAAAATGGTCAAACAGTCGTCCCCGGACTATGTTTTGACTATTTTTGAAGATTCCCCCCGCAGAGGGACAGGCCCGACTTAACCGTCAAATGGACTATTTTTTTTTTTTTTCTATTTTTGAATACTCCCCCCGTGGAGGGGCAGGCCCGACTGAACCGTGCCCGTCTCGCCCGTCCCGTGGAGGAACAGGGCGCAGGGCCCCCCCCTTACCAGCCTCGAACGTATCCCTCTCCCTAAGATCGACACGCCCAAAGGCAACGACAGTCTTAGGCATTCGCCCTCAGAAAATAGGGGAAGCCCTAAGATCGCCATCGTGAGGAGGAGGTGCCCAGCACAGGGATAGGGACATGCTCCAGGCTGGTACCCTGGTACCCCCCCCCCGACCGAACCGTCAAATGGACTATTTTTTTTCTATTTTTGAATATTCCCCCCGTAGAGGGACAGGCCCGACTTGACCGTACCCGTCTCGCTCGTCCCGAGCGGAGCAGGGCGCAGGACCCCCCCCCCTTACCAGCCTCGAACGTATCCCTCTCCCTAAGATCGACACGCTCAAAGGGCGATGGCAGTCTTAGGCATTCGCCCTCAAAACATCGGGGAATCCCTAAGATGATTGCCATCGTGAGGAGGAGGTGCCCAGCACAGGGATAGGGACATGCTCCAGGCTGGTACCCTGGTACCCCCCCCCCGATCGAACCGTCAAATGGATTATTTTTTTGCTATTTTTGAATATTCCCCCCGTAGAGGGACAGGCCCGACTTGACCGTACCCGTCTCGCTCGTCCCGAGCGAAGCAGGGCGCAGGACCCCCCCCCCTTACCAGCCTCGAACGTATCCCTCTCCCTAAGATCGACACGCCCAAAGGGCGATGGCAGTCTTAGGCATTCGCCCTCAAAACATCGGGGAATCCCTAAGATGATTGCCATCGTGAGGAGGAGGTGCCCAGCACAGGGATAGGGACATGCTCCAGGCTGGTACCCTGGTACCCCCCCCCCGACCTAACCGTCAAATGGATTATTTTTTGCTATTTTTGAATATTCCCCCCGTAGAGGGACAGGCCCGACTTGACCGTACCCGTCTCGCCCGTCCCGAGCGGAGCAGGGCGCAGGACCCCCCCCCCCGGCCGCGCCTCTTCGGCATCCCGCTGGCGCCGCCCGAGTCGCGGCTCCTGCCCAGGTCGCTGCCCACGGGCGCCTCGCGACGCGGCACTGGGGCAGGCACGGAGGCCCTCCCCCAAACCTTCCCACGCGGCAGGAAGGGTGGACCCGTTTTCCACCACCACCACCACAAGTTGGGAGGGGGGAAGGAGGAGGAGGAGGAGGAGGAGGAGGAGGAGGAGAGAGTAGGAGAGGAGGGGACGAAGAGGAGGACGAAGAGGAGGACGAAGAGGAGGAGGAGGAGGAGGAGGAGGAGGAGGAGGAGGAGGAGGAGGAGGAGGAGGAGGACCCCTCCCCTCCAGCTTATGGTGGTGGTGGTGGTGGAAAACAGGCCCATCAAAAAAGGCACTCCAGCTCCAGTGCACAATCTCAACTGCCATGCGGTTGGAACGGTCGCTCTGCGATGCAAAGCGTCTCCACATCAGGCGCGGAGGCCTCCCAGGTGGGGCCAGAGCCCATGGGGTTGGAGGATCGCGCCGCATCGCCGAGGCATCGCCGACGCCGCCGATGCATGGCCGACCCGCCACCTGATCTCAGGCCGTGCGGGTGCGTGAACATTGGGCGGGCCGGCGGTCGCATGGGGGCTGCATTGACCAACCCATGCGCTGGCAGGCGGTCCGGGGGGGGGGGGGGGGGCAACACCGCTTGTGACATTGCCCAGCAGGGGGCAATAGGATAGAGCTGGGTCGGGACGCCCGCCAATGAGTGCGGACTCCTCGTGGAGTCGCTGCCAGCACAGTAGGATGGCGATGAGGACGTGGAGGAGGAGGACGACCACGACGACGAAAACGGCAGACGACAGACGACAGACCACGGACGACGGAGACGACAGACAACAGACAACAGACGACGACGACGACGACGACGACGACGACGACGACGACGACGACAACGACGACGACGACAACGACGACGACGGAGACGACGACGGAAACGACTGAGACGACGACGGAAACGACTGAGACGACGGAGACGAATGAGAAGACTGAGGCGACCGAGGCGACGACGGCGACGATAATGGCGAAGACGACGGTGACTCGATGGCGAGGACGACGGCGAAGACGACGGCCACGGACGACGACGGTGGCGACGATGCTGGCGCCGACGGCGAGGACGTGGTGGAGCGCGCTCTCTGGCCTCCTCCTCCCACTCCTCCTCCTCCTCCTCCGTCCTCCTCCTCCTATCCTCCTCCTCCTCCCCTCCTCCTCCTTCCTCCTCCTCCTCCTCCTCCTCCTCCTCCTCCCACTCCTCCTCCTCCTCCTCCTCCTCCTCCTCCTCCTCCTCCGCCTCCTCCTCCTCCTCCTCCTCCTGATCCTCCTCCTCCTCCTCCTGCTCCTCCTGCTCCTCCAGGAGCGATCGCCGAGGGGAGCCCAGCCCCGTGGCCCAGGGGAGCCACGCCGCGCCGCCGCCCCAGGGAGCGGGCGAGCAAACAGACCTCCGTGGATCCCCGAGCGGCGGCGAGCGAGGGGGGGGGACTGGAGGAGGAAGAGGAGGAGCAGGAGGAGCAGGAGCAGGAGGAGGAGGAGGAGGATCAGGAGGCGGAGGAGGAGGAGGAGGAGGCGGAGGAGGAGGGTGGAGGAGAAGGGCGCAAAGGGGAGGCGGAGGACCAGGAGGATGAGGAGGGAGCAGGAGGAGGATGAAGGAGTGAGGCGAAGGGAGGAGGATGAGGGGAGGAGGAGGAGAGGAGGAGGAGGAGGAGGAGGAGGAGGAGGGGAGGAGGAGGAGGCAGGAGGAGGAGTAGTCAGGAGGAGAGGAGGAGGAGCATGAGAATAGGAGGATGACGACTGAGGATGAGGAGGGGGAGGATAATCATGGGAGAGGATGGATGGAAGGAGTGAGGTAGGGGAGGAGGAGGGATGAAAGGATGAAGAGCAGAGGAGTGAGGAGGAGGAGGAGGAGATGGAGGAGGAGGAGGAGGAGGAGGAGGGAGGAGGGAGGAGGAGCTTCGAGGTTCGGGGTGCGAGGATCGTCGAGGCGGTGTCTCACGTCGCTCTCGGCCTCGGGTGGCCGCTGGCTGGGGCCGCGGGGCCCCCGAGACTCGCTCCGGGGGCGACGGACACCGCGTCGGATGGGCCCCGCGGGGAGGGGTCCCACAACCCTCGTCGAAATGGAACGCAAGTGTTCTCCACCCCCGCCGCCCCCAAGTTTCAAGGTTCATCGACGGGCGCACCGCGGCCGGCGGGGCCCGAAGAAAACCTCGAAGCCGCCGGCGTCGGCGGGAACGTTGAAATTGGGGGGTCGGGGGGGCGCAGCCCCGAGAGCTCCGGGGGCCAGGGCGCGCCTCGGGGGCGCCTCCCTCCTCCCGCCCTCCCGCTCTCCCCGTCCCCAGACAGCTGGCGCGGCGAAGAATCGGGGAGGGACCCCCAGGGTGGGGGGACTTGGGGCCCCCAGGGATGGGGGACTTGGGACCGGTTTGCACCGACATTCGGCTGCCGCCTCTCGCTTCACTTTCCTGGGATGTGGCAGGGGAAAGCTTCAGCTCTCGATAGATACATAACTTGTATTGCCCTGTCATGAGATAGGATAGCCCTACAGAGGTACCACATCCCGGAGAAGGTCCAGAAGTTTGTGAAAACTACTTCGGCTGCTTCATCAAGGTACATATGGAAACCTTACACGGAATGTCGACCGACGACTTCATAAACGCGTTCTGGAGGTGAGAAGGAGAAGGCCTTCTCAAAAGGTGGCGGGACTTCTCAGACGCCCTCGCGCCTTCCGAAGAGTGTGCTCTTGTCTCCAGGGAAGGCTTAGAAAACTTCTCAGCAGGCCGGGGGACTTCCGAGCCTTCTGAAAAGGCCTTCTCCTTCTCACCTCCCCCCCTCGATCGCCGCCGATCCGAGAGAATCTCAGCGCCGACGTCGGCGACGCAGCGAAGCCGACGTCGATGCGACGGCGCCGCCGACGCAGCGGCGACGACGTCGACGGCGCCGACGACGCAGCGACGGCGACGGCGACGGCGCCGACGCCGACGACGCAGCGACGGCGACGGCGACGGCGCCGACGCCGACGACGCAGCGACGGCGACGGCGACGCGGCGACGGCGACGCGGCGACGGCGACGCCGACGCGGCGACGGCGACGCCGACGCGGCGGCGCAGCGGCGCACGGCGGCGGTCGCGCGGGGCCGCGGCGCGGGCCGCGGCGCGCCTGGCTGCCAGGCGCGCCCCGGGTGACGCCGCTGGTGGGCGCCAGGCTGTCCTCGCCGAGCTGTCGGGAGGCGCCCGAGGCGGCGAGGCCGTCCTCAGCGGGCCGTCGGCGACGACGACGACGACGCCGACGACGACGCGACCACAAAGACGACGCACTGAGACGATGACAGCGAGAAGGTGGACGACGACGACGACCACGACGACGATGAACGACGACGATGATCAACGACGACGACGACGACAAGGACGACGACGACAAGGACGACGACAAGGACGACGACAAGGAGGGCGACGAGGACGACGAGGAGGACGACGACGACGACGAAGAGCCCTGAGACCCTGGCGCAGCATTTTTTTTGCGAAACGGGCCCTGGGACCCTCACAGATCGATCCGGCTCGAAAAATACAGCACAAACGAAACGGTCCAGGGCCCCCGTCGGCTCATGTTACGATGTTGCAGCTTACTTCGCGACGTCGGATCTCAGGGAGGGCAGCGACGACGAGGGCGAAAGACGACGACGACGAGGGCGACGACGAACAACAACGACAACGACAACGACAACGACAACGACAACAGCAACAACAACAACAGCAACAACAACAACAACAACGACGACGACAACAACAACAACAATCATTTTAAGACTGTTCGCTCTTACTTGCCCGCGTGCCATGCAACGTGTATACCCACGCCCTCGATACCCGCCCCCTTCGTCTTCGAGCGTACCCACTTCTGGGGGATTCTTTCTTTTTGCGGGGTCGGGCGGGCTTAGACAAGCGGGCGTGAACGGGCGG